TTTATACGAAGACAATGTTGCTTGCATAGCACAATTGAAAGGATGATTTATAAAAGGAGATAGAACGAAGCACATTTCACCAAAATTATTCCACACACACGATCTTCAGAAAAGTGGTGACATTGATGTGCAACAAATCCGTTCAAGTGATAATCCAGCAGATTTATTCACTAAATCTTTGCCAACTTCAACTTTTGAGAAGATGGTATACAAGATTGGAATGCGGAGACTCAAATATTTGAAACAAGGTTTACATCAGGGGGAGTAAAAATACGCGATGCACTCTTTTTCCCTTACTCAGGTTTTTTCCCATGGAGTTTTCCTTATAAGGTTTTTAATGAGGCACCTAGCAATGCGTATTACTAAATATGTGTATTTTTTTCCTTCACTAAGATTTTTTTCCCACGTGGTTTTTCCTAGTGAGGTTTTAATGAGACACATTATCTTTTAATGAACATGCAAGGGGGAGTGTTATAAATATATTATATTATGGATGTTCATTTAGTACTCCATTATAAATAATCTTCCTGAAAAAGCTTATCCATATGAGACTCCACCGTAAATATGTTTATCCATTTAGTACTCTATTGGAAATAAGCTTTCTGAAGAAGCTTATCACTTCGGTACCCGATTATGGATAAACATTACCCTAGGTAGAAGATTATCCATACCAGGTATAATAAGCTTATCCATTCAGTACTCCGTTATGGATAAACATTGCTCTCAGTAGAAGATTATCCATATCTGGTATAGTAGCAGCTTACACAGCAACAACTTACACAACAGCTTGCGTAACAGCTTACACATCAGCTTCCTTTCTTCTATAAATAGAACAGATTTGAATTCGAATAATATATCAATTTCTCTCTATACTTATCTTAACTTTACGGTCTTTATTTTATAACATAATTATTATTATTTATTTTTTTTAGAGTCAATTCGATCGCCAAGAAGGACCGTCGTCTCCTTTTCCCAGCGTCCATTAATCGATGAATTTGGAAAGTCAGCTCCAATAATCTTCTATTCCCACAAAATCACTTACCCAGATAGGACCATTGGAGGAACTGGTCAGTCAAAGTTGCACTAGAGTCTCGCTATCTTTCGTTTTTGGATTCTTCTTTTTTCTTCATTTTCCTTTAATTTTTTATTCTATCACACTGAAAGAGTAATTTCCAAAGCATAATTGGCTTGATGTTCGTGGAAAGGAAGATGATTGCAGTAGATTGATAGTAGGGGTGGCAAACGGACGGGACGGGTCGGGTCGGATATGAGCCGGTCAAAATAGGTAATTCAAAAAACAAATAAATTATCTGACCCAACCCGTATTTGTGAGTTAATAAACAATGACTTATCCGGCGAATAATATCACTTCTTGAATATGATCTCCCAAACTTGAGTAACCCCAATTTAAGGTTTTATAAATGTAAAAGTTAAACACTTAGTTATCTATTGATTATCCATTTGGTTAATCATTTTCTAAGCGGATAATATAATTATATAACTGTTTTCTTTTAACCATTTTGCCACCTCTAATTGATAGTCAAGTAAAATTTATCTAATCATGATGATTCTTTTGAATATTACAGAGAATTGATATAACCAATACCAACTAATTTGAGATTAAAATACTTGATTAAATTGATTGATCACATTGAAATAATCAGGGGAGTGGAATTTGAGATCCAACATTTTCTTGTCAGGTAACATGTTTAATTAACCTAAGAATTGTGTTATTCCACCATCTAACTTAATTGGCTAGTAGTAGCATATAGCATTCACCCTTTTTAGCTATGTGGTTTTAGATCTTTCCTATTCATTTTTACTCAATCTCCGACGAAAACGTTGAAGTGGAGATTTTTCAATTTAAGAATTAGTAGAACATGTAAAATTAGTAGAACATTTTTACATGTTGTGTCTTTGTTTTTTTTCTTGTTGTTGTTATTGTTGGTTGCTTCCTTTTCACTGTTCCTTGAACCCATGATCCATCGGAAACAGGTTCTATGCCTTCACAAGGTAGGGGTAAGATATGCATACATATTACTCTCCCAAGTCCCACTTGTCGGATTACATTAGATTTTTTGTTGTTGTTGTTGTTGTCATATATGAATTTCATTCGAGGGGAGAATTGCTCTTTTGACGATTAGCAGTTGCTGGAAAAAGCAATCGACAAGATTTATAAACAGGAACTCCTTTGGGATCATATGAAATAGAATAAAGCAGAAGTAGTTTAACAAATTACTCTGTGCAGGAAATTCATTACCAAGATCTCCAGCAGTTTTTGGATTTTTCTGAAGCAGTGTCAGGAAGGGCATCTAGTGGAGTGACTGGAATTATTAGTTTGTCAAAATAATTATATTCCAGTGGAAGGATTGCAATAATACCAGTTTGATGACTTTTTCATCAATTGCATATTTTCGTTTGTGGAATTTTCAAATATTTGGACTTTGGTGGTTCATTAGATGGGAAAGTTTGGTTGTATTACTGGTTTGGTGGAATATTCTAAGACTTTTTTTTTTAATTTTGTTTTCTTCTTCTTTTCTGAGATGACCAGATAAGCACATTGATACCAATTTATAAACACTTGAATGTTCGTTTGAGTGTCCATCTCTACCACTTGTCAATACTCTTTCAAAACAGGTACTAGGGAATGAAGATATCGTTGGTTGATTTAGTTCTCTTGTTTTTGTACTTTTATGTAGTTAGCTGCAATAGTAGTCGTTCACAAGCGTTGTTGCCTGGCCATTTCCTTTCCTTTTCTGCAGGAGATACATTAGTATCCGAACTAGGGAAGTTTGAACTTGGTTTCTTCAGTCCAGGTAATTGCGATAAGCTCTTTATTGGTATATGGTATTCAAACATAAAAACCAAAACTGTGGCTTGGATAGGAAATAGGGACAACCCCATTCGCCCTCCATTCAATAATTCTCATCTAGAGCTGACTGATGGAAACCTACAACTATTGGATACACTTAAACAAAGAGTTTGGAGTACTAATGTAACCATAGCTTCAAAAGAAGATGTCAATAGGGCAGTACTTCTTGACTCTGGAAATTTAGTTTTGACAAATGGCATCGAGATAAAGTGGCAGAGTTTTGATTATCCAACAGATACATGGCTTCCTGGTGCAAGGATTGGATTTGATAAGAGCAAGAACACACTCCAGAAACTTACTTCTTGGAGGAATCTGAATGATCCGGCTACAGGAAAGTACTCTTTGCAATTAGACCAGAATCAAAATGGTGAGTTAGTACTACTAGATAACCGCGGGAAAAACTGGAGGAGTGGGCCTTGGGACGAAGGAGGGTTTGATTCTCTAGCTGAAAGAAAGGGTGTATTCAACTTCAGCTATGATCCAACTAAAGATAGTAAATATATTACTTTCAATGTCTTTGGTGAATCTGACATTTCTCGAATTGTCCTAGACTCTCGAGGGTTGATGGGTGGATGGTTCTGGTCCAAAGATCATCAGAAGTGGCAGTTAGTGTTGTTTGGACCTGCTGATTTTTGTGACCGAATAAATATCTGTGGTTCTTTTGGAATTTGTTACATAACTTCTGCTCCACCCTGTGAATGTTTACAAGGTTATGAGCCGAAGTATAAATTAGACTGGGATATTAATGACTATTCTGGTGGGTGTGTGAGAAAAACTCCAATGCAGTGTGGCAGCAAAAACGTAGGTTTTGTCCGTATACAAAATGTAAAACTTCCCACGTCATCTGAATCAATGCTAGTGGGGAATGATCAGATCTGTGAATATATATGTTTGTCTAATTGCTCGTGTAATGCTTATGCTTACAGTAGCGGTGGACAGTGCTTATTATGGAATGGCGATCTGTTCGATCTGAAAAGATTACCTAACAATTCAAGTCAAGTAGAGTTCAACCTTAAGCTTTTTGAGAGCTCCAACAAAGGTTAGTTGCTTCCAAGCTGTATCTCGTTCTAATGTGTGCTTCCCTTTAACTGAAAAAAATGGTATTTTCCTCTTTTCTTGATCTGCCTTATTGTTTAGGAAAGAAGAAACCACTGTTGGTAGCACTAGCAGCATCCATCACTTCAGCAATATTTGTCTGTGGTACATGCTGTTACTTTCTATGGAGAAGAAATCTCAGGGAAAAAGGTACATCTCTTTCTTTTAGCATCTATCTCTGTGCTTTATGAACATACTCCATGATCGTTGGCAAATCCAAATCTACGTATAGTCTATGCTCATTAACAAATCCTAATCTTTTTTGAATGTCGTTAATTTTCGTGTGACATTCTAATTCTTAATGGTTGCAGGTTGAATGACTTAAGTCAATTCTACCTGACATAACTGCAGGGGGTCTATCAAAATTTAGCTTTGGTTTAGTTGATCATGGAAAGAAAACTGTATTCTCATTGTCAATGAGAATAATGGACTAGATAAAAAGTTAAAACTGCGTATTTTTGGCTTCTTCTAAACTAATCTATACCCTTACCTTATTTCAGGGATTTTGAGAAAGAAAAAGTTCAGGGAAATGTTACTTTCTGAGTCAGCAACTAACTTGGCAAAACCTGGACATTCCAGTAATAAGGGACAAGAAAAGAAAAGTGACATTGAACTGAAGTTCTTTGAATTACATGACCTGAAAGTTGCGACGGACAATTTTTTGCTCGACAATAAGCTCGGAGAAGGAGGTTTTGGGGCTGTTTTTAAGGTATTGCTACTACACGAGAGAATATATTAACAACCTGAATATCTGCAACACCAAAATCTCCTCACGCTTAAGGAACATGGAAAAAGCCCCTCTTGAAATGACCAGATGTCATACTGGTTTAAATTTACGTCTTTTTCATATTGAGTTTTCAAGGTGTGATAAATTAGTAGTTTGCGATTTCTAGGGTCAATTACCAGATGGGCAGCAAATAGCTGTGAAAAGGCTATCAACTCAATCAAGGCAAGGTATACGCGAATTCAAAACTGAGGCCCTTCTCATTGCAAAACTCCAACACAGAAATCTTGTTAGGTTCTTTGGCTGCTGTGTAGAAGACGAGGAGAAAATGTTGATATATGAATACATGCCAAACAAAAGTCTAGACTATTTCATATTTGGTATGATTACTTATCACCTGATTTTGTGTTAACTCTTTCCTCCTGTCAAATAGTGCTTACCTGATAAATTTGATATGAACCACTTAGACGAGAGCAGGAAGTCGTTGCTTGATTGGAAAAAGCGGCATGAAATCATTATTGGAATAGCTAGAGGGATACTCTATCTTCATCAGGACTCAAGACTGAAAATAATACACCGTGATCTGAAAGCCAGCAACATTCTTTTGGATGAAGATATGAACCCCAAGATATCCGATTTTGGTACTGCTAGAATATTTAGTGGAAACCAAAATGAAGCTAAGACTCTTCGAGTTGTTGGAACATAGTAAGCAAACAAATACTAGAAAGGATTTTTCCATCACATCCTTACCATTTACCAATACTTTGCATACTCATTATAACCCCTTTTCTGTGCAGTGCCTATATGTCACCTGAATATGCTCTAGCTGGTCTGTTCTCAGTAAAATCCGATGTCTTTAGCTTTGGCGTTATGGTATTGGAGGTCATTAGTGGAAAAAAGAACAGGATATCTTATAACAGTGATTCCCCTCCAAATTTGATACGGCAGGTAACTTTTAAAGATGCAAGCATTTGAATCTTTATCTATGACTAAAAATCAATATTCATTTCAATGAACTGCTGCTTCAGGCCTGGGAACTGTGGAATGATGGTAGGGACTTTGAGCTGATAGATCCAACAATAGTTGATTCTTGTACCAATGAGGAAGCACTACGCTGTATTCAAATAGGACTATTGTGTTTGCAAATTGATGCAGCAGACAGACCAACCATGTCATCAATTCTGTTCATGCTAAGTAATGAGGGCACAGTTCCATCGCCGAAGCATCCCTTGATTACCCTTACCTCAGACTCGATTACTATGGAAACAACATCATCTTCGATTAACGAGGTGACAATTACCGCACCTGATGTTCGTTAGTTGTCTCATGTGTTTATGTATTTCATGTTATCTGTTGATCAAATGTTTCAAGCTGTCACTACTTCCTAAAGCATGAGGTAATCTTTCATGACTCGATGCAGTAAATTAGAATAGAATTTGATATTATAAATGATTGTACTTTGACAACTGCTCATCAAAGCAAAGAATGACATATTACTTTGATTTCAGGCACAAAGAGAGATTGAAACTACAATGTTCTTATATCATGAATTTACCTCTATTATTATACTTGATTTATATAGCTATCTCATAATCCTTTTTCAAAAATAAAATAAAATATATATCTATCTCATAATCTTACTACAAAACAAAAGTCAAAATCTTAAAGCAACGCTTCAAAAGATTACTTACCTATTGTATAAGTTGCTCGGACATGGGTGCGGATGTCCGACACGGGTGTGGATCTAGAGGTCGGATCCTTCGAGATGTAAATTTTAAGATTTGGGGATACAGTCCTAGTACGGATACGGGTGTGGGAATCCGAGTAAAAATAATTCAAATAAATAAAAATATCTCTAAATTATGAGAAATTTTGTGGAATGCTTACGTATAGCTTGTAAAGTATGGATTTCTTTTTTATTCACAAGTTGTAGATAAGTAAATGATTGATTTCCTAGACAAGGTATACTATTTTCTTCAAATTTACCCTACTTTTGGTTCTGATTTCGGGAATCAAATTGTATCTTGTCTCACATTTTTTCGTCCGTCGGGGTCAAAGTACAAATAGTGCCCTTTAATTCACGGATAGTGGGGTTAAACCATTAAACTTGCTGTTTCCCCCACTATTAGACCATTAAATGAGCTGTCTTCAGAATGGTCTCCCTATTTCCAAATATGAATCTCAAAAAGAGAACATTGTACAGAAAAAAAAAACACTATATTTTTTCCAAAATAGGTGTCAAATACAATATTGAATCCAGCAATTCATTCACGAATCTGTAGAACCAAATGTTTCGGGGTCAAACCCTATCTGATATGCATGAAACAATTATAAGTACAGTTTGATATGTATTTCAGAATTCACTCTCTAATTGAGAACCCACAATGTTATATCTGGATCCATCACTGGTAAATGCTTAACATAAACTCTAGCGACCATGAATTGTAGAAATAGACATGTCGTTAACAGATGTTCCTATACTTGCTGATGAAGACAGTGTAACTGAACCATAATTCTGTGATCTGAATATAAAGCTAGGTTCTTTAGGGAAAGGAAGTTTGGTTTCATTGCACAACATGAAGACCACTTCCGACATGGTTGGTCTGTCATCTACAAATGATTGTACGCACAAAAGGCCGATGTGGATGCATCTCAAAACTTCACAAGCTTCATATGAGTCCCCTAACAATGGATCAGCAACATCTAAAGCTTTATCATTCTTCCAAGAATCCCACACCTAAAACAGAAATACCAAAATCAACATTTCCAGCAATTCCTGCTCTATAAGAGAAACTAGGCAAAATACATAGTTTACCCATCAACCTTGCGACGAAATCCCTGTTACACATCTCTCTTTCACGGGAAACCTTTTATACACTCAACCTTTTAAAAGTGTGTCTAAAACACCACTTTTGTGCTTGACCAATTTTTCAGATAACGTGAAAGTCACGCCCTAATAGGGTCATGACACGTGTCATTGACTTTAAAACGGAAAAAAAATATTAGAAATTAAAATTTAATCCATCTTCTTCATCTTTCTATTTTCTATCTTAAGCACCATTGTTGCTACCACCATGGTTGTTTGTGAGAAAGTTTCCAACAACACCAAAATTCAACCACACTATCTAAACAACTAGCCAAAAATAATCGAGCAACAAATTGAGTTCAATAACCCAATAATCAACAAGATCCAATTAAATTTTCAAGCTTTTTTCGATACCCTAACAATGGTGGATTCTAGATTTTTTCACCAAACCTTCAATACTACTATTAAAACTTTTAAATCTATCACAAATAAATAGTTTTCATAATATTTAGACAATAAACCAAAAAAATTTGCTTAATCTTAGATTTAAAATTGATATGTTCTTTCAAAAATTCTATTTGGGGAAGAAAATGAGGCGGAGGGTTGTGAGGAAGAAGACCAGAGGGAGGGGGAGGGGTTCCTGTGGGGAGGGGAGACAAAAAATGGGATTTTTTTACGGGCTTAATGCGCTTTTCTTGTGTGTAAACACGCAAGTGCTATCTGGTCAAAAGTAGTGTGTCTTAGACACACTTTTAAAAGGTTTAGTATGTAAAAGTTTTTCCGTGAAAGAGATGTGTGTAACAGGAATTGTGCTGCAAGGTTGATGGGTAAACTATGTATATTGCCGAGAAACTATAACACCTAAAAGAAGCAACCCAAGCTAAAAATAGAAATGCTGAATAGTCGGTCTATTAACAAATTTAAGAACCCAAAAAAGAGTTTATTTTAAGATTATCATTTGCAGTACTTCCATGTGTGGTACGGTTTATGTCTAAGGCAATGGTAAAGTAATATAGGCGATTTCTTGATTTTAGTAGCATATATATGTTGTAGAATGCACTTACATATCCAGCTAAATGTTGAGATTTCTCCTGATCATACTGAGAGTTGTTCTTTCTGCCAGTAATAATCTCCAAACACAGAACCCCGAAACTGAAGACATCAGATTTCGCTGAAAATTGCCCTACCATTGCATATTCAGGTGACATATAGCCACTGCGATCAATTAAGCAATGTCAAGATTTATATTTTAAAACTCAAATGAACACATCTAACAGAACTCTCACATGTGTATGCACAAAACTTGAAACACTTACTACGTTCCAACAACTCGATTCGTGTTTGCTTCCATTTGGTCACCTCCAAAAATTCTGGCCATTCCAAAGTCTGATATTTTTGGTTGCATGGAGGCATCTAGTAAAACATTGCTTGCTTTTAGATCCCTGTGTATAATTCTCAATCTAGAATCTTGGTGAAGATATAACATTCCTCTTGCAATCCCATGGATGATTTCAAACCGTTTCCCCCAATCCAACAAAGACCCTTTTGTTTTATCTAGAACACAGTTTGAAAGTTTATGAATTAGCAATCCATTAGGAAAACACAAACATTCAAGCAGTACTCGTTAATTAACAGTAAACATGTAGAGTTTGATGGTCAAGTTAAGATATCAGGCCCTGGAAATGTTCTTACCAAAAATAAAACTATCCAAGGATTTGTTTGGCAAGTATTCATAAACCAACATCTTCTCTCCTTGTTGACTACAACATCCTAAAAGCCTCACAAGATTTCTATGCTGGAGTCTTGCAATTAGTGTGACTTCATTTCTGAACTCCTTTGCTCCTTGCCCTGAAGTTACTGAAAGTCTTTTGACAGCTATTACCTGTCCATCTTTCAGGTGACCCTGAAATTGAATCCAAGAATATTATTTGGTAAACTTGGCTTAGTACAACAACTATTACATCTAACTTGGCTTAGTATAAAGATCATGTTGATTGCAAGCATTCAGACATGTTTTGGAGTTGTTACCTTGTATACGCTACCAAACCCTCCTTCACCAAGTTTGTTAGCAACAGAGAAGTTATCAGTTGCATTACTTATTGTGCTTAGGTCAAAGATTGAGATTTCTGTTTGTTCACTTTCATCCATGGATTCACACGATGCTAAACTTTTGTTCAATGTATTCGAATGACTCTTCTTATCTGCACATCAGCAAACACGGATTAGGATCTAATGCAGTTTGCAATTACACCACAGTTTTCATGTGCTTCTAAGGTAATAACATAAATTGAGGAGAATTAAACACAATGTGGTATAGCGGCTGTTCAGATACTGAAAATATTTGACCAAGCGTGGTATTGAATAATATCCTTACCTTTTCTCCTTTTACTAATCACCAAAAAATATGCCAACAAGAGTCCAACAATTATTGCTGCAGCAGACCCTACTATAATTGCTGTCGCTCTTTTCCTGTGATTGTTATTTGGGTTCTTGGAGAATTGTGCTGAAAGGAATGAAAAATGAAAACTTTATATGAACACCACGGCTAGATACAACAACAACAGCCCAGTATAATCCCACAAGTGGGTCTGGGGAGGGCAATATGTACGTAGACCTTACCCCTACCCCGAGGGGCAGAGAGGCTGTTTCCAGGAGACCCTCGGCTCAAGAAAACAACAAGAGACGATATATTAGTACTATCAATAGACTCATAATAAAATAACATAACATAAAATAACAACAATATAAGAAATATAGGAAATACGAACTAGATACTATGTATAATATGGATTTAATCACACATATTTAAGTTAAATCCTTACCTAAATCAGATGCAGAGACTCTGCTATAGAAATCTTGGCCCCCATCTGTAAATTGCTTTATGTCTCTCAACTCACCATACCAAGTGATACACCCACTTCCCCCTTCACTAATATTAGCACTTGCATATGCTGTGCAGGAACAATTTTTCAGACACAAATCTTCACATTCCTTCAACCCCATGCTTTTGTTCATCAAAGCTGTATCTATATCCGGGATTTTCACATGATTCAATTTGACAAACCCCTCCCCACTATTGCACACCTTCTCATCTTTCTTCCTCAAGCATCCATGGGAGCCATCTCTCAAGTACCATTGTCGGCTTAGCCTCGGCTCATACCCCGGAAGACAACTACATTCAAATTCACCCAAATTGAACAAATTGCAATTGCTAAATGCTCCACAATGTTCATAATTGTCACATGAGTCCTTAGGTGCAAACCAAAATTGCACCCATTTCCGCTCACTCTCTTGCCAAGTTACCCGGTTCAAGATCCCAGATTCATTCAGGACCATTCTTGAGATTATTGAAGTGTCTTTTATTTGATATGTCATGGAAACCTCGCTATCGTTGTCCACATAGCTAAGACTGAAGATGAATCTTGGGCTCATTTCCGGTACACCACTCCAACCATGACCAGTCCAGGATCCTGTCCGCCATATCTTGCTATAGTTCTTATACAAAAATACTTGAGGTGTCCCATTGAATTCCATTATGTAACGATACTCTCCGGTGCCTGGATCGTTCAATGATTTCCATGATGTTAGAAACCGGTTTAAACCTGTTTTTTTGTCTATCCCGTATTTCATTGAAGGAAGTAGAGTATTGGTAGGATAATCAAAGCTTTGCCATGCAATAATATCCATTTTCGGGTCCTGAA